TTGTCTCTCGCAGTTTTTCTGTAAAGTTGATAGTATTTGAGTAAAAAATTATTCAAGACCAATATTTTGCAATTTTTAATAATTAATATCTTGTTAACTATTGCTGACACCGCAAAATGGTACAGGACTTTTTGATTCAGTATAGGCTGTTCTAACCATGTATGACAAAAAATGCGGTAGTCGCCAAACACCCTGTATATGTATGTAAAATATATGTGTTATTTTAGTTAGGCGATAGGGACATACTATTTTTTCATTTAATTTATTTAATGATAAAAATATAAAAGCAATCTTTATAACATACATTAAAGTTACAAAAAGAGATAAAGCAAAACTGCAACTATTCTTTATGATGCCATAAAGCGAGTGACAGGCGTCGTACAAATGGCACGTTTCTAAACTATGCCTCGGAATATCAAGTATTTTCCGCAGTTAAATGATGCGCCGGTTTCCTCGTGAAAACACAAAAGAACTAATGTCGTACTTAAGTAAGTTATCCCGCCATGGTGGCAGTAAATTAACCATGATTTGATTCCGAAAATTTTCAAATTCAGCTCCCCGTATTTCAAATGTAGGAGTTTCATATTTAGACATGGCGTATAATTCGGTCCGCTCTTCCAGCATCAAATCCAATGTGTCGCGTACTGCCGATTTAAGTGGGGTGACGGACACGTTGATTTTCCTGATGAGTTCAGACGCCGTCGGGGAAATTAATTAATTTCGCTTCATTTCGTCCGGGTTTCATTTCAGTCCAGCTTGGAAATTTATTGAAAAAACAAACGTCGTGATAAACGAGAAAGAAAAAAGAAAGCGTAAAGAGTGGAGAAAGAGACAGGAAACGATAGAGCTGACGGTGACAGGACAAATCACGCACAGTGCCAATTGCAAATCAATCAACAATCTCTTTTTCACTCATGTCACATTTCACAGATATTTATGTATGTATTTCGTTTACATTAATACATATACGTACAGTGCAAAAATTGATAAATTGACGGAATTTCATCGGTTCCATTTTATCGATGGAATCTGACATTCTTCGTATACAAGTATATCTCTTTAATCATTAAGGCTTATATTTTGTTAGTTTTATTTAAGAGGGATTATTTGAGGAAATTTTTTTTACTTTATCGCACTTTTTAAAAGATTTTTAGGGAATTTTTTAGAGTAAATATTTTTCAAAATTAAGTATTTTATCTATTATTTGAAAGTAGATTTGCTATTATTTTCTATGAAAAATATGAATAGTTAACAGATCTATATTTAATTTTTATGCATCATGTGCACAATTCATCTGCGACCATGATTTCGAATCTGGTTAATCATTCAAATTTGTTATAAAAAAATCTATTTTCAAACAATAATAAATAAAGGATAAAAATTACTTTTTATCCTTTATTTATTATTGTTTGAAGATAGATTTTTCTATAAAAAATTTGAATGATTAACTAGATTCATGGTTGCAGATGAATTGTGCACATGATACATAGAAATCAAATAGATGCATAGAAATTAAATAAAAAAAGTAAAGAATATTTATTTGTTCAAAAAAAGTCCTAAAAACTTCTTTAAAAAATAATGCAACAAAGTAGAAATCTTTCTTAATTGCATCAATATAAGATTTAGAAAACTTGCATACTTGACTTATTCTCAATAAATGCATAAAAATTGTACATTCCTCATGCGATTGTCAATTTTATGTAACAAAGAATGTATTATAAAAGTACAATGTGCAAATTTTTATATTATATGAATATTATTATATAGGGTCATCGAAAAGTATCGGACCCCCCTAATATCTTCAGTTAGAATGCATTTTGGAGAAAATGTCCAATAGCAAAGTTGTATGGTATTCAAGCGAGGAGTAAGATGATGACCTTGACTTTGATCTAGACCATGTCCTTTAAGGTCATTTCAAGGTCAACCTTATTTTTTTAAATGGAA